CGAAGATGTGGAACAGTGTCAAAAGCTTTCGAAAAATCTACGAATAGCACGTCTACAGCGTGGCCACTGTCTACCGCTTCGGCCCAGCTTTCACGAGCTACAAGTAAATTAGTCTGACATGAAAATCCTTTGCGGAATCCATGTTGTGCAACACTGAGAAGGTTGAATCGATTCAGGTGGTTCTCCACTGAATCCCTTATCAGCTTCTCGAACAACTTGACTACTACGCTTGTCAAACTGACAGGCCGGTAGTTCGCGGGTAGAGCGCTGTCACCGCCCTTAAAAATCGGACAGATGATCGCCTCCTTCCATTCCGAAGGTAGGCTGCAGCTGTACAGCGATATTAAAAATACGCACGTGAGCGGACCACTCAGCTCAGTGGCCAGTTCATGCAACAGCTTCGGATGAATTGAATCAGGACCGGAAGCTTTAGAGGGATTAATGCCTTGCAGTAGCTCGAAGACCTGAGTCTCCGTTATGCTAAATTCAGCTAAGCAAGAATCCTCTGGAACTCTTGAAACCAATTCAACCTGTGGTAAAGAGGTCTCCCGAGCAAAGACCCCAGTATACTGATCACTCAGTATACAAGCCTTGTCATAGTCAGTTTGCGCACGGGTCCCGTCTGCTCGCAATAAAGCTGGTATAGACAGTTTTGCCCCGCTGCGTCTTTTAACGTAAGCAAAGAACTTCTTGGGATTAGCTGCGGCCGAGTCCGCTAAACCCTGCTCGTATTGGAGACGAGCAGTTCTGAGATGTTGCTTACATTTATTTCTATTCTCTCGATAACTATCATAGGTACTGGCTGATGGAGCTGCTTGGTAGGTTCGCCAGCATCTAGACCGTTTCTTGAGTAGGAACTTGCCTGTGGTATCTATCCATGGAGGCTGTGCCCTTAACCCTCTTTTCCTCATGAGTGGAATATAAGGAGTGGAAACCTCCGTGAGGTATGCCTTAAATTTATCCCAGGCTAACTGGACAGAGTCAGCCATCGAGATCTCACAGTTCAGAACTGAAGCCTTAGTTCGCATTGCACTAAAGTCCGCCCGCCAAATATTCGGAAGTAATTCAACAGCGGTCTCTTGGTGCCTTGAAAGAGCACATCGAAAGGATATGCATGCGTGATCGCTAGACCCTAGAGGTGCACCGCATGAAACGTCAGTCACGAAGTCTAGGGACTTAGCGAAAACCAAATCCAAAGTAGATGGTATTTGGTTGTCCATATACCTAGTGGGAAGGTCAACGAACTGGTGCAAAGGCACTTGGAGAGTCAGTTCAAGGAAGTCTGCACCGAATGTTCCTAATGCCGAATTGCAAGAAAGATCGGCCCAACAGACTTCCGGGAGGTTGAAATCCCCTAGAACTAAACACTTATTCGCAGACTGAGTGCGAATAAAGTCAAGTATCCCCCTGGAGGAACTTCCAGGACTTCTGTATATCACTATAACTGTAAACTGGGTAGAGGAAGTGCACAAAACAGCCGATAGGGCTTCAACAGTCTGATCCGACGACTGGAATGTGCAAGTCCTCAACACCTCTAAGTTACAGCTCACATACAGTACAACGCCTCCGCCTTGGCGACCAACGGAGCGATCGGTTCTAAGCAGCGCGTAGCCAGGTAAATATACCTCACCGTCCGTGATATCCGGAGACAACCACGTCTCAGTGAAAGCAAGTATGTCGGGACGAGATTTGTCTACAAGTAGCCCCAACTCGTGCACCTTGTTTCTTAGGCTACGCACGTTGCTAAGTACTACCTCAAGGAAGTCGGCACGACCATCCCTGGGTCGTGCGCCATCAGGATTGGTTCTGATAGGGCGGAAAGTAACTTCCGGCTGACCACCTGAAAACCCACCAGACGGAGGCCTTGCTCACCAGCCGCCCGTCTAGTTTTGAGGTCTTTGATAGCCTCCTTTAACTTCAACCTATCTGCCAGTGGTAGGTCCGGCTGAACGCTGACACCACTACCCTTAAGTTTGAATGCAAATCGCAGTAACGATTTGCGTTCCTCCGGGGTAGAAAGGACTACGCGAAGTAGTCGGGGTCGTGGATTTGGCGCAGCGACGGGAACGTTCCCCAATCTGGTCAGTTTTCTGACAGTGACACCAGGGAAACCAGGTGGAAGCAGCTTGCTGACACACAGTTTCAGCCACTTGATGTCATCCAAGATGCGTTCCCTTGGGAGAACGGCCTCAGATTCAGTAACGTTACGGAATATAACGCTACTATCAGTGAAAGAGTCGGCACGACGGGGAGTGTTTACCATACGTGCCTTGGAGTCGACACCTGTACCAGCTGTTTTCACCACTGGCGGTGGGACTGTCCCAGGCTTCCCAAACGACGCCGAAGCAACGGTAGCGTAGGTTTTCCGCTCTATTGCCGGCGTCTTACTGGTTCCTGGGTCTTCAAGCCCCTTCGAAGTTTTACGAGCAGATCTTGTCCGCTTCTTCTTTTGGCTCACTAGAGCAGGGGCCGTTGACTTTGTAACGCATTGAGCAGTTACCAGCATTTCGTCAGAACAGGCTGGTTCACTGGCGGCCGAGACAGTCAGCGTCTGTGGAAAGTTCTGTGTGCAATCGTCAGACGAGTTTATGACTGTCAAAGACGGCATCTCTTTCGATGCCGTGGCAACTATTTCTCTGGGTTTAGCAGAGGGCTTTTGGTGTTTCCGCACCCTATTTTTCTTCACTTTGATCGGATCATGAGGACCGTCAGCAATGCTACCTGGATTGGCCGGTAGGATGTGCGACTTTATGACCGATTGACAGACTCCAGTGGATGGATCGTCAGCAATGTTGCCGGCTATTGCTGTGTCTTCAAACGAAATATTTAGGGATTTTAAAATCAAATCCATTTTCGTATCGAGCGAAGCAATAGAGGCGAGTTTAGCTATCGCCAACTCAACATCTGCCAACCTTGAAGCCAACGCTGAAAGTTTAGCACCGGTGACAGCCAGGCGCGTCGATCTTTTAGCGCAGCATTCAGCACAGCTGAAAAGAAAGTGGACGCTTGATGATAGCATTTTGTACTGATCAGCTTGTAGGCCGGTACAGCTTTCGTGATACCAGCGGCAGCAGACGTCACACTGCATACCACCAGATGCATCTGTTACTGGCTCTGAACAGTTAACCTGTCCGCAAGCTGCAGTAGAATCATCAAACGAGGACCCCATAGGTCCATCCGTCTCGGTGTTTAGCGAGACAGCCATGTTCATGTGGAAAACAGATTAGAATTACAACACGTATACAATAGGAAAACGACCGCAATAAAAAGACAAAAACAGGGTGCAAAACGGGATTAAAACTGGGAACAACCGGAAAAATTACCAGTAAGCGCCAAAGACGCTTTAGCCGGTACCAATTTAATCGATCCAAGATATCTTGGATCAGAGAAAATTTGACAAAAGTCAAATTTCGTTTCAAGTGTTTATTCAAACACTGTTTTCCACGTTATTTCAGCTGAAAAGCTCGATCAGAATGGCACGCCAAAAAATCGAGTTACCGCGTAGTACTCACAGAGACACGATTGTCCTCACGGTTTCCTATTTCCGCGTCTTTTCCTTCAGTAGTTTGCCCGAGGTGGTTTCCTCAATTCATGGGTTCGTCTTTTGGCTCTATTGTTTTGTCTTGCATTCGTGGTACTATTCATTTCAATACTTATCGTCTGCAAGATGTCACTTTTTGTCCGACAGATTTTTGGTGAGAGGAAACAGAGCTCGATACTAGGTCACAGTCTAAATCTGTTCAAACCAATGGTTCTTCGTGTACTTCCCACCTGGCTTAATGTCCTCTCATAGTGAATGACTGGAATGGCTTACTGAGGTCCACCGTGGATGCCGAGACAGAAACGTTCCAGGCAGCAGGTGGGTTTTTACTTGAGGTTACCGCCTTATTGGCACCAGTGTCCGACGAACGCACAGTGAGTGTACCATGGCGCCCGTTAAGAGCCCGAGTGGCAAAAATCGTGTGTCTCATTGGTCTCTCGTCGGGAAATTGTGCGGGCCCGTTTCGCATGCTTATTTCCCCCCAGATTTTGCCCTCTGTAGGAATAACGAGACCGTAACTTCTCTCCCACCACTACTGACTACACGTTATTACAGTTCCACACAACTGACTTTATACACAACACGTAGCGACAGCATTTTGCAATATAGAGCAGGTAATTTACGGGCCAGTCATGCTACGCAAACCGTTCAGACTCCCGTTTTAGCCACTTTTCCGGCTGATCCTGCTGATCGGCGTGCATGGCGTGATCTAACAACGAACGCCGTTGACCAGGTGCAAGCGTAAGCCCTCGTGCATGCAGAGAAGAAGCGACAATTGCGGATGCGATGGTTGCCGATGAGTTGTACTCCAACGACATCGATCGCACGGTGCTGTAGCACATGCGGTCGCGGATGTCTCAGTCAAGCACGCCTTGTGAGCCATGAGCGAGGCCACTCGGAGCCAACACAGAAACGACGACGAGTCCTGCAGAGAACGTAAGCAGAACCGGTGCAGCGTTTGTAGGTACGCTGCATTTGCTTTACTAACCGCGTGCTTGCATGCTGAGTCTTTGTTTCACGTTCAAGTTCTAGATCAAGCGGGACTGGAACGAAAGGATTATCCCGTGAGTGTTCCTTCTTCAGCGGGTCGTTGAACCAGGAGTTCGCATACTTTGAAATACTGATGGACCTAAAACAAAGACCGCATCACACCCTGTCCAACCAATGAATGCCCACGTATTCTGCCCTAACAGTTCCTGCTAGGCCGGTTACGTGAAGTAAGAAAGAGAAAAAAGCAAACTCAGAAGGCGCAATGAGAAAGTAGACAGAGCTAAGCAATTAGAATATAAAGGTATTTGAGTCAATAAAAAAAGAACTGAAAAGTGAAGGTGGGTCAATTAGGAAACAGGAATGGTTTGGAGTTGCCACCCAAGAGCATCGAGCTGCCTCGCAAACCCTTAACCGTAGGTTCCCTAACCACGTGATCTGGAAACGAATTCCAGCGATCTATAACGGCGCGACAGACGAGTTTCCGTCCTAATTTTATCAGACCATGATTTATGCAGTTTCAGTGTGTGACCGTGGAAATTAGGTAACGTAGCGGGACTAAATAGCCTTGTCAAGTCCGGGCCGTTCTTATCCGACAAAACACGATGAGGGAGAATCAGTTTCCCTCTTATCCTTTCGGTTGTGCATTGAGTACATCCCCAAACTGAGCAAGCGTTCAGGGTACGTCTATCCCCATAGACCTTGCACTAACCGAGTGTCCAATTCTACTCCAAGTCCATTTTGTCTCGGGGAAGACATGGTAGACAAGCCTTGATACAATATTCCAGGTGGGGTCGGACGAATGCCGAGAACAGCTTCACAGTTGGTCGTTAGGATTCCAAAAGAGCGGCGGATAAACCACATCATACGAAACCCCCGACAATCAGCCTTCTTCCAAATGTCGCCAGAATGAGGCGCTGATGAGTCTACGACCCCTAAATCAACCTACTGAGTGACAACATGGATTTCACCACGGCCGACAACATGTCGGGTGGGAGGATTAGCACCCGATTCGGAGAACAGAGCACTTGTCCCTATTTACGGGCATCAACCGTAAGGTGGACCATTCCCAGTCTATCCAAGGCACACTGAATTGCCTCAGGACCCACCGGGATATCTACAATATTCCAGATGTTATGGACGTTAGCAAACAATAGTGATGACACTCCTAGCTCTCCCGGCAAGTCATTTACATAGGTCGCGAACAACAGTGGCCTCAATACCGAGCCCCGCAGGATGCCACTAAGGACAGCTCGCCTGAGCGAAAGGCTACGTCCCACCCGTACGTACTGTACCCTCTCCTCAAGGAAGGCAGACGCCCATTGAAGGGCGCGACCAGATATACCGTATGATCTCTTTAGTGAGAGTCGAACATGAGGAACAATGTCAGAAGCTTTCGAAAAGTCCACGAATAGCACGTCTACAGTGTGGCCACTGTCTATCACTTCGGCCCAAATTTCACGAGCTACAAGTAGATTAGTCTAACATGAAAATCCATTGCGAAATCCATGTTGCGCAACACTGAGAAGGTTGAATCTATTCAGGTGGTTCTCCACTGAATGCTCTAACAGCTTTTCAAACAACTTAACCACTCCGCTTGTCAAACTGACAGGCCGGTAGTTCGCTGGCAGAGCGCTGTCACCGCCTTTAAAAATCACATAGATGATTGCTTCCTTCCATTCCGAAGATAGGATGCAGCTGTCCAGCGATACTGAGAACATGCATGTGAGAGGACCACTCAGCTCAGTGGCTAATTCATGCAACAGCTTCGGATGTGTTGAATCAGGACCGGAAGCTTTAGAGGGATTAATGCATTGCAGTAGCTCGAAGACCTGAGTCTCCGTTAGGCTAAACTCAGCTAAGCAAGAATCCTCTGGTAGTCTTGAGACCAAGTCAACCTGTGGTAAAGAGGTCTCCCGAGCAAAGACCCCAGTATACTGATCACTAAGTATACAAACCTTGTCATTGTCAGTTTGCGCACGGGTCCCGTCTGCTCACAATAACGCTGATATACACAGTTTTGCCCCGCTGCCTCTTTTAACGTAAGCAAAATATTTCTTGGAATTAGCTGCGGCCGACTTCGCTAAACCCTGCTCATATTGGAGACGAACAGTCCTCAGATGTTGCTTACATTTATTTCTAATCTTTCGCTAACTATCATAGGTCATCATCATCATCAACAACAGTACATAAGCCATTTAAACTGATGCTTCACTGCCATACAACCATGATGACCTATGAAATAAATAATAAGAAGTGGGAGAGAAGGGGGACTTACCTGAAAACCTTAATGCCCTAAGCAAACATTCAGGTTCAAGGCGCTTACACCTTGTGTAGACAACATACCGTCACAAACAGCTGGCTATCGTGCAAAGATAAGGCGGCATCGGCATGACAGCTTCCTTGCGACTTTCACTGCCCCGCGTCGTAATCAGCCATTACCCCACAGATAACTCGCCACCAAACACACTAAACAGGCAATCCGATTAGGAGTCGACAGCAGATGCGTCACTGGTGTCTACTGCGAGCCATGTCCTGTAAAGTCTCGAGCCAAGCACAAGGCGAGTCACGTGGACTCCAGCGCGGAAGGCGAGACGGACCAACGGCACGCAGTTTGGTCGTCAGTGAGTTCATTTCCTGCTGCCAAGTCAACTTCTGTCCACCTCGAGCCTTGCGCCACCCTACACCTGGCAGACTAAACAAGACCCTCCTAGGTAAGCGGTGACGAGGCATACGTATCACGTGCTCGAGCCAACGCAACTTATTCAGTGCTATCTGTTGTTTTAGGGAGCTAGCATGATTATCATTATCTAGTACTCGCCTATGCACATCATCGTTATGGACACGCTGGTGCCATCCGACTCCAGCAATGCTTCGCGGAGAACGATGATCAAAGACTTGAAGGCGCCTCAGATCTTCAGACCGAAGGGGCCAAGTCTCACTACCATAGAGCAGAACGGCCCTCACTGTGGCCTTGTATACCCGGCCTTTCAGACGGAGGGAAACTCCCTTCTGTCGCCAAAGATGCCGCAGGTTCAAGAAGCTAGCTCTGGCTTTTGCAATGCGTGAGATGGCGTCAATTTCTATGCGCCCATCATTGCTGACGTTTGGTGCGTCTCCCGGTAATGTTCATGAAGATACGACAGCGTACCCAGGCATGATCAGAGTCGACACCGGTACTCCAGTGCGAGCGGCAATCCAGGATTGAACCACGCCATCTGTAACTTATGGCTATGTGGTCAATTTGGGTCCATCGCTGGCCAGGTACAGGAGGACGCCAAGGGGCACTTCAGCGCCCATTGTGTCTAAAAGCAGTGCTACTAAGAAACAACTGGTGCTCCGCACACAGTTGCAGCAGACGCTCACCGTTGTCAGTCCGTTCGGAGTTAAGCCTACAATAACCACCCAGCTGAGCTTCTGAAAAGCTCAGATGCCCTACTTATGCGTTCATACCCCCTGCAAGTACTGTGATATCTGAACTAGTAGCGCTGCGTAGTGGCGTGTTCAGTTCGTGATAGAATGTGTCCTTGACAACATTAGAACTGCAGTCGGTGGGAGCATAAGCGGAAATCACAAACAAACAGCGTTTTGTATCACTTCGCGAATCAACCTTAGCTGTTTACCGGAATCCAATCAACCAACGATGGCACAGCGTTGGAGCTTAGAATGATCAGTTTGACCCGTGAGTGCTGCATCGGCTTCCCCGGATGCGTGCAGCCAATAACGAGAGGATAAGCCGGGTACAGTTAATTCAATAACCCCGGTAGGGTCATTGATCCTAGTTTCGGACACACAACGCACATCAATACCCAGTGTGTCCAAGGTGCGTGCGAGTGCAGCCTGTTGGACTGTTTGTCTTAGAGTGCGAACGTTGAATGTCGCCATGGAAACGGGATAGCGTGGCCTTATAAGGGACTTTTGCCGATAGGCGTCCGATAGGTGCGGTGGGATGGTGGATGCAGATGGTTCTACTCCAGTGGCACTTTGGTTGCTGTCAATTAAGCTGGGAATCATGGAAGGAAGTTAATAATGTGGGTCGGGATGGAAGTAAGAGAAAC